TCACCTGGAGGCCAGGTGGCCTGTGCTCCCCCTTAGCACTGCCTCAGTGAGAACATCCTCCTTACTGAATTTTCCTGAAGTTGTCCTTTCTGGCTCTGTGGGCCAGAATTGGTGTTTAAGAGCAATCTGCTGACTTGGAAGTAAGGCCCAAGCAGAAAGAGGGATGACCAACCACACAGGACATCGTGCAGGAGTGGTGCAGACCTCACAGGCAACACAGGTGGCCTTCCTGGAGGAGGGGAGAGAAATGACAAAGTAAGGTCTCTCGGGAGGCAGAACGCTCTTGTATTTGGAAGGGGTTTTTCTAAAGCGTCACCGTCCATGGGACTTTTGCAGTGACAGAAATGTTGTATCACTGGGCTGTGCATTGCGGCAGCTACAAGCCACAGTGGTTACTAAGCTCGGGGATGTGACCGGTGTGACTGAGGAACAGAATTTTAAGTTTCACTGATCTTGATGAATTTCACTGATCTTGGTTACTTGTGTTGGTCGTGAGTGGACGAGTCCTCATCTTGTGAGGACACACTGTTGTGTGTGGCCCTTTCCGGCCAGGTGTAGATGGCACCTCTGAGGCATTTCTGAGGACCTTCTTGTGGCTAGTTCACAGCTCTTTTCACTCCCGACTGAGAAACGTGAGGCCTTTCGCTTAGGAGCGTCCAGTTCAGGAGCGCCGTGGACGAGCAGGAAAACTCGTGCCTGGCTCCATCTGAGGCTGAGGTTGTTCTGGTCTGACCGTGGTCTCCTTCCATGGCATTTGCTGAGTTTGTGATTTGTAGGACATGAACAGACCCTGGTTGGTGCATCTCACCCCATTGTGTCACATCACAGTGTGGAAAGTTTATTGAGGCCCATGAGAGAGGCACGCCCATCCGCCCAGCGCCCTGGAGGCAGAGGCAGGAGGCTCATGAGTTCAAGGCCAGGTTGGGCTACATAGGGAGACCTGTCGCCATAAATAAAGAAACAGATAAATAAATAGGGTGGGGACAGATTCCAGGGGATGAGGAAACGCGTGTGGGACCACTGCAGAGCAGGTAGGGTTTTGAAGACCAACGCGAGGACACTTGTGCCAGATCTTCCACCCCCGTGTTGACTCGGGGTCAGCGATCAGAAAGGTGTCGTCACAGTCTGGTTCTTTAGTGGTGGCGAGGTTTGAACTTGGCCTCGGGCTCGCTAGGCAAGCGCTCTGCCACGTTAGCTTCACCCAGCCGGGTTCTGTTCTGGAATTTGATCCTTTTTCTGTTGAACTGTCCGAGTTCTTTCTGCGTTTTGGAGGGTGATCTTTTACCCGTGGGTGACAGTCTCTGAGCCCACAACTCAGGGCTGCAGATGGTGGTTCTCAAAGTACAGCCAACCCCCGGGCTCCTGGGAAACCTGAGACCCGGGCAGGGGATCTGGGAGGTCCAGCCTGTTTCATACAGGCCTAACGTGGGACTCGCCTTTTTCACTGTGGTCATATTTGCAGTGATGTACAAGAGGGATGCTGGATGAAATTGTTGCTGCCTCAGTACAAATCCAGTCAGGGTCCCAAACCATACCAGTGTAGACCTCACCTCTGTGCTCTCACAGCTAAGCAGGACTTGCTTTTGTTTAAAAATGTCTAATGAAAACGATAAAAAGTTTAAAATGTTAATACATTTAAATGTCATCATTTCAAGCCTTTTTTTTTCTTTTTGGCAGTACTGGAGTTTGAACTAGGGCTCCATGCTTGCTCGGTGGGCGCTCTATTTCCAGCACTTTTTGGAGATGGGGTCTCACTTTTTTCTCCCACCCCAGCTTGGAGTTCGAGCCTTCTGTTTTGTGCTTCCCACCATCACTGGGATTATAGACACACACCGCCACACCCAGCTTTTCTCTGTTGAGATGGGGTCTTGTGAAATTTTTTGTCTGGGCAGTCCTGGGATCAAGACCCTTCCAATCTCAGCCTCCCAAGCAGCTAGGATTGCAAGCGTGAGCCAGCTTCAAGTCTTAAGTAAACATCTTTTCCATATTTACTGTAGCAAGTAGGAAGTACAATGACCTTGAGGTAATTCTTCCCTGAGTGAGGATACTGCTGCCTGTAGTCACCCCCCCCAACCCAGCTCAGGGAGGGCGCTTACGTTCGTGAACACTTCAGTCCTCGGCAATGAGGGCTGGCAAGTGGCTCGTGAGGCCCTGAGTTCAAATCCCAGCACCATCAAGAAAGGAAAAAAAAAAAACAGGTGCAATCCTGTGAGAAAGGCAAAAATGTGAGGCACAAAATTGTAAACAGAAATTGCTAAAAAGAAAAACAAAACAAAACCAAGACGAAATCGTCAGATCATGACGGTGTGGCTTTGGAGTCTGACAGATGCTTTGCAAGGTGAGTGAGGTTGGAGGAACATTTGACATGTTAGCTGCCAGTGGAAAAACTCAAGTTTTCAAGTGAAAAGCAGAGTTTTCAAAAATGTGTATCACTGTGAATTTTGAGTTTAGTACTCGATGACTCTTTTAACAGCTCAGTAGTGATATTAACAAACGTGGGGCTTTTGCATATTGTATTGAAATTAGCAGAAATCTGGGAGATTTGCGTTAAGTCAGTACACCTGCGTTTTCTAGCATTCTGGTGACAGTGACACATCACTAAAGGCAAGAAGATACTTCAGGTCCCTTCTTACAAATAACCTGTAAGAAATGACCACTCAGCTGAGCCTATGATCATTGGTACTTAGGAGGCTGAGATTGGGAGGACTAAGGTTCGAGGCCAGCCCAGGCAAATAGTTTGAGAGACTCCATCTCCAAAATAACAAGAGCCAAATGGGCTGGGCTGGAGGTGTGGTTTAAGTGGTAGAGTGCTGAAGTCCTGCGTTCAAACCCTAGTCCACCAAAAAGAAGAAAAAAAAACCTGTCACTCATACCCCTCCACCCCCAGCCCTCAGGGGTTAAGGAAGGAGGACTGTGAGTTTGAGGCCAGCCTGGGCTACTTCATAGTAAAACCTTGTCTCAAAACAAAAGAAACTATCGCTGCTGACTTTTGGTATGGTATCAAAGCAGAATTTTCATAATTATCTGAAAGTCCATTAAATACCTCTCTCTTTTCTAATTTCATGTCTAATTACATTACTTGCAAAAAATGTAAAAAGAAAGCCAAGCATGGTGGTAGTTTGTGCCTGTAACCCCAGCTGCTTGGAAGGTAGAGATCAGGAGAATCACGTTTGGAGGCAAGTCTGGGCAAAAAGTCCATGAGACCCCATCTGAAACAATAACTGGGTGTGGTGGAACACACCTGTCTTCCCAGCTACACGGGATGAGTAATAAGAGGATCACAGTCCAGGCATAAATTCGAGACCCTATTCGAAAAGTAATTAAAGCAACAGGGGCCGGGAGTGTGGCTCAAGTGGTAGAGCATATGCCTAGCAAGCACAAGTTCAAATCACAGGGCTGCCATAAAAAAAAGTTAATTCGGTGGAAACCGAGGCGTCAAGAGCGTGAAAGGGAAGTAGAAACAACACGCAGCTGACAGTTTTTGGTCACTGGCTGGTGTTTCCACAGGACCCAAGCCTGGTGACGTGGGCACACTGTCAGAGCATGACACTTTGCGGGGTGGACATTGGTGTTACAGAGAACTGCAGAGGAGATAGTGACCTGTCCCCGCGGCGATGCAGGATGCCTTGTGTGGAGGCTCTGAAGACTTCTGGCTCCCACCCTCTGTGCGGGGACCTCGAGCTTACGCCCTCTCAGCGCTTGGGCTCTGCAAAGGCTCCTTTCAGAGCCTGGCCTGTGCATGCGAGGGACATCCTGGAGGCCAGCCTGTCCTGTGCAGGAGTGCTGTGGCCGGCCGCCCTACATCACAGCTGCTCCAGTGTGAGGAGGGCTTGGGGCTTGGCCACATTTCCCCTACAAGGCCATGTGTCCCTGACCTATGCGATTGGGACTGCTTGTTCTGCAGGCAGTGACCGAACTGCTTGTGCTCTGGGAAGAAGCTGCGGACTCCCCATAGCAGAGAAGTGGGGGCTGCTCGTTGGTGGGGATCCCTGGCTTCTGATGAGGCCTTCCTGGTGCTGTGCCGAGGACCCTCCCTCCCCACTAGGGAGACGGTAGTCATTGAAGCCGTGAGGCCCTTTTTTAATGCCCTCGTCTCTGTGAGGGCGTTGTTGATTTTTTTCAAGTTCAGGTCTGGAGGCAGCTGTCTTTTCTCATCGTGGGGGACCTCACCACAACCCTGCAGGTGCTGGGGACCTTAGCTTCCGTGTCTCCCTGCTTCATGTAGGGTCACCCACGGCTGTGCACTTGTCATTGTCTGGTCACCCCTCAGGGATTGCTTGGGTGGACACAAGGGCAAGGAGCAGATGGAGGAAGATGCCAGTGTGCCAGGGAAGGTTAGGATGAGTCTTCAGGGTCACCCCAGGTGCGGGTGGGTTGCATGCAGTGGTCAGAAGAGAAGGGGTGACTAGGAAACAGAGCTGGGTACGATGCTCTGTTCCGATGTCCCCCAGGGCCCAGGCAACATCGGCAACTGCTCACTGCCTGAGTCTCCATTTTCTTACTGTCCAAGCAGGCACACCACTGCCCGTGGGGCCGTTTGGCCTTGACCTAGACCACAGTAGTGCTGAGTGCTATTCACTGAGGGCATGGCCCCGAGTTCAAACCCAGTACCACCAAAACCAAAAAAGTGCTGTGTGTGGAGCATCCAGTCCTACCCTGCTCCCCCTCCGCCACCTTGGCACGCTTTGCTTCAAGCTTTGAAGGCATTTTGATGCCTGAGTGACCCTAGAATGGCCACATACAAAGTAGCCCAGCATTCCAAGGCCTGAGTTTGACATGCAAGCACGTGGTACTTCCAGACTAAGACCCCGGTGTCACCCCACCCCGCCCCGTGTGAGGAACCTGCCTTCATTCTGACACCCTGTCTGTCTTGAGGGTTGCCTGGGGGTGGGGCCCAGCTTGTGAATGTCAGTGGACGGGTGAAATTCTGCTGGACATCTACTGCATGTGAGGATGACTTGTTCTAATCGTTCTCTGATTTCTCGTTCTTCTCTTTTCAGGGACCCGCCTCTTCTAGACCCAACTCTGGAATATGTGAAGGTAGGAAACGGATTTCAGGTGTGGACATGTCCCTGGGTCACAGACTTCCGTTCACAGCACGGCGTCACCGAGTAATGCTGCAGTCGGCGTCTGTGGAAGCCGTGGTTTGTCTGGAACTTGCAGAGGGAGTTTGACCCTCTTAGGCCTTTGTAAACTGCTAAGGGTCTCCCACCATCCTACTTCAGTTCCTGCCTTTCCCTGATGATGTGTCCCAAAAGTGCTTTAAAAGTTAGAGGTGCTTTTTGTCTTGTTCTAAAGAAAGGTCTGACCATTGTGTGTGATCACGCAGAGAAGGTTTGGGGTCAGCACCTGATAATCAAAGTCATTGTTGTGGCCAAGACACTTAAGGATACTCACCCTGAGCGGGGTCAGTAGATGACAAGTGATTGTATTCGGGTCATGCTTTGCCATCAGTGAGGCCTATTTACGTTTGTCGTGCACGAGTTGGGTTTTGAATTCCCTGTTTCCAGAGGTTTGGGGTTTTAGAAGGGTAGACAAGGAACTGTGGACTGTATTTACCTGGGGTGGAGGACTGCAGGCCCCTGAGGTCTGGGAGCTGCCCTTTCCCTTCTGACTGCCGCCCTCTTGTTTGGTGGCCAGTACAGGGCCAAGTAGGGATGCTCACTGTCCAGTGGGGTGAACGGCCAGTGCCTGTCAACATCCAATCTTCTAAACTGTGTTTTCCTTCTGAGTGAAAGGTGAGACCTCGCTCCCTTCTTCCCTCTGCCCTCCCCCGTTTGGGGAGGTGCATGTTTGCTTCATGTCACTTTGTTTTTGAACTGTAGTTAAGTCTGGTATCTCCGGCAGAAGACAGAAGTCTGATCTGTCTCACTTGGGTTTATGACAACACATGTCATTTTCAGGAGATGATTGGGACATGAGTGGGATTTAGGCTTTCCTCCTGAGGAACCATGTTCTGTCTTCGTACTCCTAGGGCGGCATCCCAGGACCCGAGCCCTGTCACTTCTCTTCCAACTGAGCCTTCCTTAGAGTTTGCGCCTCCTCCCTCTTTGCCCAGGGGCAGATGGCAGAGGAGAAAGCTCCCTACAGCCACCTGTCATTGCGGAGTCTGTGGAAATTCGGACCGGTATTTTTTCCTACCTTCTCCTAAACCCGAGGTGTCTGAGCTGTGTTCCCTCTGCAGCAGACATGGTGTGCCCGCACTGGAACCTGGCGCCTCTGTGTCCCTCCTGTGTACGTCATATTTGCTTTTGTGCAGGCTGTACACTGCAAAGCATGATGGGACGCTGCTCACATAGGCTAGCTTTTGCTTAACTGATATGCCCTGCGATTTGCAGTGTGTCAGTCATTCACGTCCACCTTTCAGAGGTCAATTGCTGCCTCCCACTGTTAGGCCTCGTCACACTTCTGCAGGCACACCCCATCCTTATTCTCGTAACTTGGCTCTTTCTGTATCAGATTCCAACCCCCTTTAAGATAAAGCAAAAATAAATTCTACAGCTGGACTTGGAAAATTTTAGGGTGGCCTGCTTTAGGATTGTAGTTACCCCTAATCTGTGGTCTTAGCTACCTGAAGTCAACAATGATCCAAAAATACTAAGTGAAAAATTCCAGAAATGCTCAATTCATGAGTTTTAAATTGCATACTTTTGTGAGTAGCACAGTGAAATCTTATGCTGTCCTGCTTCTTCCCACCTGGGACGAGAATCATCCCATTGTCCTGCATATCCACAGTATGGATGCCACCCCATCACAGTCTGGTTGTGCTTGTGTTCAGGTCGCCATCATTTTACTTACGGGTCTCAAAGCACAGAGAAGTGATGAAAAGGACAGATTCACTCTGGTATGCTGTGGTCACACTGCAGGGCAGATAGGAAAAAAACACAGTGCAGCCTGTGGAGAATAGGACACTGTCTGTGCTTCTTATCTCGTTAGGATCAAGGGGGAATGCTGGACTGTCTAAGCCATTAGCTCTCGTTCATGTGCCATATCGCTGTTGTAGTGACTGAAAAGAGACACCATGGCTGGTGTGTTTTCTTTCACTTTTCTCCCTGGACTGTAAAGCTCTGATGCGTATCAAAGAGGCCCATGTGGCAGTCTTCTTGGGCCAGTCCAGGTCAGTTGTAGCCCTTTTCAGACTTTGGAGCCTGGCTGATAGTGCCAGGAAGTCCTCGTAAATCAGGGCCAGCTGGTGCCTTGTGACCAGAGGTGGCTGACTATAGGTGAAGGGAGGTGAGGGAGCTGGGGATGCAGTGACATCCAGTTGGTCCCTTGACTTTGACTTCTTTCTTTTTCACAGTCCCCGTGTGCACTCAGTCTTGGGGGCATGGAGGAGAGTGTGAAGTACCGTGGAGGCCCTTCTGATGGGGTCAGGGTCATTGGTCTAATACATAAGAGTCAAGCTGGGTGCCCACCAGTGGCTCATGCCTATAATCCTAGCTACTTGGGAAGCTGAGATCAGGAAAATCTTGGTTCGAAGCCAGCCTGGGCTAATAGTTCAGGACACTTTATCTTGAAAATACCCAACACAAGAAGGGCTGGTGGAGTGGCTCAGGGTGGCTAACGTGAAGCCCTGAGGTCAAATCCCAGTATCACCCCCCCCAAAACAAAAAAAGTCGAGATGCCAGATGTTTAGAGACTCATCATCACCCCTCCTGTGTGTGGCCAGCAGTCAGCAGATGCAATCCTGCTAGGAGCCTCCATCCCCAGGTTCCCCTGTGTCTCAAGGCAATGGTCACCTTGTCGTCATGAGACTGTCACATCTTCCCCAGTGCCCAGAGGGAGAAGAGACAGATCCCAGACTGCCTCCTGCCTCCTTGGGATGGGTGACACAGGACACAGATGCTGACCCTGTAGCTAGTGGGGCCAGACTGCAGGGTTTGCGCAGGACAGAGCTGGGGAGAGAAAGAATCCAAACGTGGATTCTGCCCAGTTCATAGTGTCCTTCTCACACCCCGGAGGGTTTGCACTGCAATGCATTAATCCAGCATGAAAGGGGTCCAGGGTCTTGGTTGCCTAGTTACCTTCCCATGCGGAGTGGAGGGAAGCACGGAGGCCGGGAAGCCCTGGGGCTGTTTGGGGTTCCTCTACACTGTCCGGCAGGCTGGCCCCTTGCTGGGCCTCCCTACAGCACAGCACGTAGACCCTGGACAGGCTCAGTTTGGTGATTGGACGTGATAGGAAAATAAATAGCAGATCTGGGGACTTTGGAATCTCATTCCTCACTGTTTCTGTCTCTTTAATTCTGCCCTTGGAGAGCTCTGTTTTCTTGTTTTTCTACTCTTTGTTTTCCTACCGCTCGCCTCACAATTTTTTTTTAATCTCAAAACATGATCATTGTGAAGGTCTGATTTTAACAGCTTTGAATAATCACAAGGTCCTTTTCTGTAATCAGACATAACCGGTCCTCCTCCACCATGTCTGCAAGAAACTATTCCTTCCAGGTCAGAACGCAGAAACCTTCCTCCTGCTGTCTGCCTTAAAGTTACTGGCTGGGTCAGTGGTGTACAGCTCTGGAATTTTCCTCTGCGTACCTAGCATACCTTACCCTAGATAAAACCAACTTTTTTTTATTAGCAGGAGGAAAGAGCTTTTAGAGGCAGTAGCCTTGGGGCATAACTGGGATGCAGCTTTTTTCTGGGCTGCTCTACCTGCTTACTTCCCCTGTTGGGTTTTGTCACTTTTTTACCCCAGTAAGATGTATTTACTCTGTGGCCAGTTTCTTAGACTCGTCGTATCACAGCACAGCTTAGAAAATTTGGCAGAATAGCTGAGCTAAAATGTTGGTAATTGGTAATAGTTCAGTGTGTTGCACTTCCCAGATAACAGTCCAAGTTATGCTTCCTGGACTTACACCCTAGCTCTAGTTATAGCACTGTGATCTTGGACTTACCCAGCACTTTCTCTATGGACTCCATCTTCCCCACAACTAGAAAGCCTTGGGGTGGGCTCTCGTTCCTTCTACTGTTACATTTTAGGGAATCTCCATGCCTGTGATAAGCCAGAAAGGACGTTTTGGTTTTTGTTGTTTTTTTTAAGCAAGTGGTAAGGAGTCACTGTTCTCAAAACAGAGTCTATGTGGCCCAGGCTGTCCTTGACCTCTGGATCTTCAGCCTCCATCTCTTGAGTACTTGGATTACAGGTGTGACCATCACAACTAGCTGTGCTGTTGCTCTGGATCATAAAATTGCCATATTGATTGGACCAAAGGTGGCACTTCCTGTTCTATTTCAGGGATGAAGATCAAGAGCATTTTCCCACCCGTCTCCACCTGCACGTTTGCTCCCACACCTGCGTTGGGATCTACTAGGTTTCACTTTTTATTCTTTTTACTTTTTTCTTGGAACTACTTCCTTGAGTTTCAGGAGTGTTCTTACACTAAATGTTGTAAATTTATATTCTTCTGTCTCTTTCTTTTATATCTGTCTTCCTTTCGTGCCGAAGATAATTCTTTCCAGCCTCTTCACACCCGAGGCCTACAGTTACTGTAGTGCACTCTTTTCTGGGAGTGGACAGTGGATTAAAGTAATTGACAGGGTCACAGCTGTGTGATTTTTTCCTCTAAGAAAAAAAAGGTTATTACAGGTTTTCCACTTAGAAATAAATTATCTTTAAGAAAGGTAACTGAGAAACCTAGCAAAGTACAAAGGGAAATTTGGGATGCCCATGTTTTCAAATTAGCACCGAGATGGCAAGTGCTCTTGGGTGGGCAGGCTGTGGACAAAGGCCGGCTCTCCAGGAAGTGTGGGGACAGAATGCAGCCTTTGTTCCTGGCCAGGGTAGAGTGAAGGAATGTCCTCCTCTTTTGTGGTTGGCTTGGTGGACTCTTGTTAGACCCACTTGTGAGCTTTAATAAAACGGCCCGGGGTCTCTGAGCCAGCCTTGCAGGTGGGGAGAAGAAAGGACAGCACTGGACCTGTTGTGATGAATGGGACCCTGGCCCTGTGGCTTCCGTCCTCTGAGGGGTTAATGATTGCATGCTGTGTCCTCCTACTGGCCTGTGGGAGGCGAGGCTCTCACACGGCCACTTCCCGAGTTGG